AGTTTTCAAATAATTCTATATTTTTTATATTTATTCTTATTTAATAGGGTATTTCACCTCAAAATAAACATAAAGTGATTTATTCAATAAGCATATTTAAAAAAAAGATAATAATTACATCTTAAAAGATTAAAAAATCTTCCATTTTATATGGAGGGAGTATATTTATTCTATAGTCTTTCACCCTATATGATTTTAAATCTAGTCTAAAGGTTATTTGATAACTTGATATCATTTATGTATTACAATTTTAACATCATATTTTATTTCAAAATTTATTATTCTACATATAATTCGTAATTATAAACCATTCAAAAATTAGTATCTAATTTTTAAATTCATAAATAAAATATTTTCAACATAGAATTTAGAAATAAAAAAGTTGAATATAAACCAATATGATTTTAAAAAATTAATGTGAATTGCATTATTTATTATTTAATATAATATAAAGATTTGATTTTTTTTTTACCAACAATATTTCAAGTACTATTTGATATTTGATGATGATTGAACAGGGGACACGGATCATATATTGTTATAGCCACTAGCGTTCATTACCCGTGCAACGCACGGGAGCATTTTCTTACATGTAATATCTTTAAAATATTGCTCTTATTTTTTTTAGAATTGTTTTACATTATAATGAAAACATAAACTTTATAAAATCTATATGACATGATTATTATGAGAGATAAAGAAAGAAGTCTTATATTTAAAAAAACTATAAGATAGGTTTAGAATATATAAAGCTTAGAGTGTATTTAACCAAATAATTTAAACTATTTTTATAAAGTATACTATCCTTAAGCATACTTAATATAAAATTTTTAACAATTATAACATATACAAAAATATTAACAATAATATTTGTGGTGCATTCAATAAGCAATAAACATCATAGTGATTGCTTAAATTCTTGACTCGATGGTTGGAGTGAGAGGGGGGAAACATACCAATATATGCTCATTCTCATTATTATTTGTGGGGCTATTTTATTTTATTTTAATTCCTGAGAAAAAGTTTTAATATTAATTAATACACACCAAACACACACAATTGATATTGAAGGTTGAGTAAGGGGCTTCAGTCGTCCTTGTGACTTTATCTTCGTATCAAATGACCCAAGAGGTTTCACGCAAAAATTGACGAGATAGTGTTTCATTGGTTTATAATGGAGTAGCTGGGCTCTCAGTATCATATTTCAGGCTGTATATCATCTGCCAACAACAAAGAATGACATGCTAGAAGCATCCCTTCGGTGCAAAAGATGAAAATAAGATAATGCCTAGTAGTAGCAGTATACCAATAAAATTGATAATATCACATGCACCAATAAAAAAAACACAAGAAGTTATGGTTGTGACAATAAATCACAATATGTTTCATATTTGAGGGTAATTTAAAGTTTTATAACAAATAGAAAAATTGGATGTATATTGCTGTTCAAGGCTTTAACTTGTAAGTGCCCGTTTGAATTTTAATTAGATATAATAGATTATAACAAAAATAATTAATAATAAATTTTAATCATAATTGATTGTGTTATAACACAATCAATTTGAATACTATTTTTTTAAAATTAATTTAAAAAAGGTTGAAGATGTTTGAATGATTTATTCAAAATCAATTTTAACTCTATAAATTACTATAAAGGACATTGTTTTTCAAAATTAAATTATTCATAAATTTGTATCTAATATTTAAAAAGTAAAATATATTATTTAAATTATATATCCAATTAATTATAAAAATTTAAATTATATTAATATTAACAATTTTAATTTAAGTAAATAAATAATTAATATATCTTAGTTCAAATAAATTTAATAAAAGAGAAATATTTAATTTTTAAATATCAAACATCAACTTTATAATAACTAATAAAGATGATAATGTATAAGTTAATATCTAACGACATCAAAATATAAGTCATATCTAACAAAAATGTTAAATACTGCTTAAAAATTGTGGCAACATATCCTCTACAATTAATATTTTATTTAAATTAATTTTATAACAAGTGTTAAGTAAAGAATAGTGATTGACAGAAACTTATATTAATAACTTTTTTAAAAATCTAAAATTTGAATTTTAGAGAGGAAAAAAAAGAGGAAGAGAGTTTGATTTTATTTTTATTAAATTTTGTACTTTTTTATATTTTTTTTTTGAGCCGTTCTTGTATTTTTCTCATATAACTTTATAATAAAAGATGCAGAAGTTGAATCTTGGAGCTTTGGATTATAATCAATTTTTTGGGAAAAATCATTTTTTTGGAAAATTGATGTTTGGGTAATTATTGGAAAATCGATTTTTATACCCAAAAAATTGATTATAGTCCTTATCCAAACACACACAAATTCCATTTAATCAATTAAGCCCTAGTCACCGAGGACGCGTTCACCATTCTAGTTTGATTAGTTGTCTCCAAATCTCCTGAGCTTGTTGGCAATCCCTAACCATATGCATGTTAGAACATCTAAAAGGGCAGAGACCTCCATCATCCGCTCCTCTCGCTTACCTCTTATCGTTCTGCATTACTTTAAAAGCATCCATTTCAAGAGCAAATCCTCTTAATGTCAAGATCCCGAGTATTTTTTCACTACTCAAGAATAACTTAGATAAGTAGACCTAATTAATGAAGAAAGCAAATAACGTTGTATAATTATACTTTAATTTAATTCCCAGTGCAGCACCACCATACTGTAATAAAAAATAGAGAAGAAATCATTGTAACAAACGCTCAAGTTCCTCTCTTCACTGGAGAGCTACTATAAAACTCGATTTTGCTCTCAAAACATGATTGCCAACATGCCATCAGGCAACATCTTACCCAAATAGGAAGGAATTAATTTTCTTGATGAGAAAAAGTTTGAAGTAGCAAGGCGACAAAGATTAATAAGTCCTTTTTTCAGAAAAATTTAAGTTCATTCCATAAAATCAACAACTTTCATAGAATTGACGGCATAAATATTTTTAAGAACAATATGTTGTTTCTATCATGACAGAACATTAAATGTTAAAAAAATATAAGATCCTGTTAAAGCAAGGCTGACAGAATTGAATGAAATTCACCAGAGAATGGCTTACAAATTGAGCAGGCATGTTTTGCACAGGCTTGGACTTTAAAAATCAAGCTCTTTAAAAATATCATTGACCATTTACCCAAAAAACGACACGCATGCTTGACCAGTCCTATGTTCTTTCATTAGAAATGTTACTTGTAGCATTTAATAAATGTTGCTTGGGTTGAAATAATACCTTGCAGAGTGTTTCCCCACATTTCAAACATTCCTAAACTCAAGAATTCATTACAAGTGAGGCAATTGTGAGCAAAAGTCAAGCTATCAGAAAAGCGCACAACTTCAACAGAAATATATATATATATATATAATATGTGGTTCAATCTGCAGGTTAAATAGCATTTAATTAATCAAAATTTATATAACAAAGAAAGAGCACATTCCCAGCAGCCCTGAACACTAACACAGTAGCATATAATCAAAGTGCGTATACTCTGGGGTTGGCACTGACACAATATATAGCATATATTCATACAAGAAAAATTATAATATTCTTGCAAGGAAACCATGGTATAATATAAGCATGTGACTGAGGATAACTTACTTGGATAGTTGTGCTGAGATGGGACGACTCTGGGCAACTTTTGCAGTTCATTGAGTTCTCTGTGCATTCAAAAGCAAAACATACCAAATGTAAAGACAATATTGTTCATGAAAATCAAAACTTTGAAACACTCATCTTTATCTTTCTTTCATTCTTGCAGGCTTTAAAATAATTAAAAAACATTTTACATGTCTCTTTTATTGCTTTGGGAATTGTCCATATTATGTTTCCATCTTGCTGTGAGAATTTAACTTCCATACATAAAAAAATCACCTCATTATTATACTAAAATACCTAAACTACAATAATAATCCGCAAAGCTGAGCAAATGAAATACGGGATAGAAAATAAAATAGGGGATAAATGATATATGGGCTATAGCTACATTACCACAATTGAATTTGAATAATCTCTTACAATTCTTGGTGAGATATACATAGCAGCAACAAAGAAAGAGCTGAATTGAAAATAGCGAGCTATCAGGCTAATCATAGAAAGAAAAAGAAGCCAGACACAGAAGATGATTGAATAATTTCCCCTATCCCAACTTCTTCCAGCCTCTCGATTGCATGATCTTTGCATCAAAACCTTCTTCCTAGAGCCATTTATCTCTGCTTCAAGCTATCACCAATCTTCCTGCTTCCATTATTGTTATTGTTATTATTACTATTTCTCTTTCCCTTTCTTTGTTGCTTCCCAAAGCCATTCAGATTCCTTGCATTAGCGTCCTCGGCTTTGAATCCCTACAGTGTTGCCCCTAAAGAAAGCATGAACTCCTCTGCAACAGAATATGAAGGGTTTAAGTGGGAGTACATGACTTAGCAAAGAAACATAAACATGACATAGCTCATATACTTTATCAAGCTTATTATTATTAAGCCAATTGATCAGTAAATTATGTTCAAATGTACGAATAAAATTTAACGATATCCTGCTGTCAACGTATCATGTGTAGAATATCTCAAAAAATAAAAATGCAACAGTTAGACATCGTCTTCTACCATACTAGAATACATGAAGCTTCACTTCTCTTGATCACAATTATTTTGAAAGTTTGCATTCATCTATTGATGAAAGTAAATACTTAATATTTAAAGTAATTAAGGATTTGAAATTATAATACTTGATATTCAACTATTTATTTAATAAATGCGTAGGTAATAATCTCGTCATTGGTAAAATTAATTGACTTAATACCTAATACTTTGTAATAGATATTTCCTTGGTTCTTTCAGAGACTTTTGCCTATGGACATAGTATTTTTAAACCTATCTTTGATTAAGTTTTTGCATCTGTACATCACAAGTATAGATATCAAACTTAATCTCTCATTATATGTTGAAGCTTGGCTCAAGCTTTAATACCTTGTGGACTCATCTTGAAGCAGAATTATTGTTACCAAGGATTAGTTCCCAAGCTTCTTTTGAAACGAAGGACCCATTCTCCTTTATCATTTCTAATGACACCGCCACAAGCCGCTTGCATGTTGCTTCGAACGGAACCATCTACATCAATTCTCACCGTACCAAGTAGAGGGGGAGTCCATAGAGCCAATGAGGGAGAGTCAGTTACAAAAATGTAATGTTTTAGCTTCTTAGTGTGGGTATCTTCCATAAGCTTGTGTAAACAACTGTGAATGATCTCCTTTGGTTGTGAACTTGTGCCTTCAAAGACATGTTTGCACCTCTGTATCCAAAGCAGCCAACAAACATGACTAAAGGTGTTATGCCATGGCCATTTGTTAACACGCCTGTTACCCGGATTGTGGGTGCTATTCCATTTGATCCAAGCCTGCAAATCACATGAGAAAAAAGAAGATAAATGGTTAGGATTAATAAAAGCCTTCCATACATATTTAGCTCGCTCACAATCACGGAGGAGGTGTATCACACTTTCCTCACTCTTACACTCAAAGGGGCACTCATTAGTGTTTGAGAAGCCTCGCTTGGATCGAAAAGAGTTGGTTATTAATCTCTCATAGACAATTTGCCACATAAACAATTTAACTTTCTCAGGGATCTACCAATGCCAGATTTTACTCTATATTGGGTTCACATTTGTGTTGCTAGGATTGGTGAAGTTATAGGCACTCTTAATAGAAAAACTGCCATCTGATGATGTTCTCCACCAAAATAGGTCTTGTTGATTAGTAGAAGAGGGTTTTAGATCTTTGAGTGTTTAGATGACCCCAAGAGGTAGAAAACAGTACCACTCATAAATGTTCCAGCCACCTGATGGAAGGACAAAGCGACTGACAACATCATTGGGATTAATAGAATCAAGGTTGTTATCCACAAGAAGAATAAAAGGCTTGTCAAAAGGTGTCTAGAGGTCCCACCAAAAATTGGTATTGTGTCCACTATTAACCTTCTTGCCAATCCCTTGCATAAAGGAATCCCAAACATCAACAATTCCTTTCCAGACTGAAGAGGAGAATTTCTTTAAGGCAACAATTGGTGTTTCTTCAGTACCAAAATTGTATTTAGCTTGCAAGCATTAAACCTAAAGGGTATCCTGTTTGGTGAGAATGTTCTAGCAAAGCTTCATGATAAAGGCTTTATTTTGGCTTTCAAGATCTTTGATGCCTAATCCCCCTTCCTTTTTACTCTTGGTAATTTCTTTCCAAGAGATTAGGTGAATCTTCCTTAAGTCTTCATTTTGGCTCCATAGAAAGGTATGGCTAAGTTTTTCAATCTCCTTTAAGATACCTTTAGGAAGAAGGGTGGATTGCATTTGATAGGTAAGAAAGGCACCAATGACCGATTTAATCAAAACTAGATGGCCAGCCATGTTTAAATAACAACATTTCCAAGAGGAGAGGCGTTTCTTAACCTTCTTAGTAATATATGATCAAAAGTTGACCTTGTAGCTTTGGTGTGTGTCAGAGGAACACCAAGATATTTACCCAAATCACCCATAAGGCCAATACCAAGAGAGTGACTAAGAGCAAGGGATCGGTTGATGTGTACATTTTTGGAGAAAAATATTTTGAATTTATCAAGACTAATCTTATGTCCAGAAGCAACACAAAAATGCTGCATGACATGTTTGACTTCCTCTATTTGGCTTAAGGTTGCATCCATAAAGAGAAGGAGGTCGTCAGCAAAAAAAAAAAAAGATGAGAGATGAAGGGCTATCAATACCAAACTTCTAAGGTTTCCATCTTCCTTGCTCGCATTCATATTGAATCAAGTGGCCAAGTCTTTCCATATAAATCACAAAAAGGTAGGGACTTAGAGGATCCCTTTGGCGAACTCCCCTTGAAGGTGTAAAAGAAGGTCCATCTTCACCATTCCATAAGACTCTCAAAGAGACTAAAAAGATTATTGCCATTATAATTCTAAATAAGTAATGGGATAAACCTAAGAGCAGTAGTGATTCTTTTAGAAATTTCTAATCAAGACAATTAAAGGTTTTCTCCATGTCAACCTTGATTGTAGCAAATCCTTTTCTACCTAGCTTAGTTTTCATTTGCTGAATAATCTCCTGAGCAATTATGATGTTGTCACAACTAGATCTACCCACAATAAAACTGCATTGTTGAGGGCCAATTAAGCTTTACATAGATGGGTGGAATCTATTGGTGAGAAGCTTCGTGAGGATCTTGAAGCTAACATTACATAAAGATATAGGTCGCATCTCCTTGAGGGAAAGTAGGATAATCAACCTTTGGAATAAGAATGATGTTAGCGAAATTCACTTTTGACATAACAGAAGAATTTTGGAACATGTCTTTGATCATGGTATAAACTTTGTCACCCACAACATCCCATTGGGATTGAAAAAAATGTGCTTGCGAACCATCAAGTTTAGGAGCTTTGAAGGCACCCATAGAGAAGGCAGCATTCTTAATCTCAATATCATCAACAGGTCTTTGCATCCATTGCAGAGTGGAGGGAGGTAAAGATGGGAATCAGCTTGGGCACTCAGTTTTTAGAGTAACATTGGGGTCAGCAGAATAGAGAGTTTTAAAATAAGCACTTGCCATATTTTTAAGAGAAGTGTGCTCAGAGATCCAATTACCATTCGGGTCTTGGAGAGATTCAATACACTGTCTTTTTTGTTTGATCACTATAGAGGCATGAAAGAAGCTAGTATTTTTGTCACCCTATTTAAGCCATCTGCAATGAGATTTTTGGAACCAGAGTAATTTTTCTTGTGCATTCAGTTTGTGATAATCTTCCCACAACTTAGTTTCTAATCTCAGGAGGCTATTACTGCAGTTCTAGCTTCTTGCCTTGTTGATACCCTCAAGTCTGCGAAGAATGGTTCTCTTGCGTTTAGGTATGCTTCCAACAGCATTATCATTCCAAATTGGGCCAAAGATTGGAATTTTTCAACTCCATCATACCAGTTTTGATCTTTCCAAGCATCCTTAACAATGTCTTTAAAACTTTCTTCAAGGTTCCAAGTCGCTTGGTAACAGAAGTGCTTCCTTGGGTGACGGTCAGTCACAACAAGGGTGGTGGAAAGGATGATAATCTTGTGATCAAATTTGTATCGTAAACCATAGAAAATTGAGAGGATTGGAAGGTAGAATGCCAAGGAAGATTACCAAAGGCCCAGTCGAGTTTCTCTTGAATGCCGTTTCTTTCCCAAGTAAATCTATCAATGGTATCTTTAAGCTTAATGAGTCCAGTGTCTAAAATTCATTCATTGAAATGAGACATAAAAAGGTGGTTGGGGGAGACTCCTCCAGTTTTATCATAGGGGTTTTGAAAAGCATTAAAATCCCTTAGGATGGCCTACAGATCAGAAGTCTTATCAGCAATTGCATATATAGAATGCCATAGTCCTTTACGCTTCAAGTCGTTTATTTCTGCATGCAAAAAGAAGAATAGAACTAGGAAGAGGAAGATAGATTAGTAATCTTGCAACGAAGAAGTTGACCATTAGAGGCAATATATTCAACATTGGTAATATGTGCATTCTAAAGAAACCAGATGCCTCCCACAAGACTGGTAGCCTCAACTCTTATCCAATTGTTAAATCTAGTTTTTTAACCACACAATCAGCTTTGTAGCCACTAACATGTGTTTCAACTAAATAGAGAATGTCAATTTTGTATTTTTTGACAATATCTTTAACAATAAAGGGGAAGGACCGGTTGCCAGCACTCCTACAATTCCATGTTACAATAATCATTTAAAATGGGGCAAACGAGTAAGCTTGAGACTCACCTAGAGTTGCTCAAAGAATTTGCATTCTTTGCCTCCTTATTTTGAGTTTTCTACAATAGTGTTTGATCTTTGCTTGACTTTTCTTTGGGCATATTAAACACCAATAATGGAGGGTTAGGTGGCTTTGGGTTTTGGGATGGATTGGTTGTTAGATTTAGGTTTTGGGTTTACACATAAGAATTAACGGTTAATTTAGTTTCATGGGTGGATCAGGTAGTTCTTGGTTCTGGATCCAAATGGAGTGAGCTTGATTCATGGTTCAATCTTCTGATATCATTATTGTGTCTAGAAATGACAATGTGAGAGCGAGGCCCACTAACCTTATGAGGTCCCTTATTCTTTAGGCCTAATGAGCTTGGTCCACCCATTGTTACTGGGTAATTATTTGAAGTGGTTATCCGTTTGGAGTCATTTCCATGGGTCAATGGTTTTAAGTTTTCCTTTCCCTTTCTTGGTTGACTAGATTTAACTTGATATTTGAGTCTGGAGCTATTTGAAGTCTTGCTTCCAAGTTTTTTATTGCTTTGCGTAGTCAATGCCTTCTTTTCATTAATTAGGGTCTTGAAACGTGGATTTTGAAAAACTCTAGTTGTGGGAGGATAGTTTGTGTTTCTTCTCCTCCTTAATTAGGATCTAACCTTTAAAGCAAGATAAAAATCATCAATTCATGACCAACATTGAACATGGATTAACGTCCCAAAAATTATAGTATGGTCAATCAAAAGCTACAAAGAAGTCATAGAAACAGTAAAAGTATCATTAGATAAAAGTAGAAAGCAACAAATCAAACAGAACTAAAAGGAAGCTAGTGCATAAGTTAAGGTAAACAAAAGGACACAAACCTTTGGTTATCTGTAAATTTTATAAGTAACCATTATTTAGATCACCATAATGAACGCTCATCACATCATATCATCAATAAAACATGTTCAATAAAATTGAACTAGGAAAGAACTAAAATAAACATCAATATTCAATAAAGACATATGGATGAAAATAATGGCAATTTATTTACAATCGAAGAAACTTTAATCAATACTTTTACGTATCCTACTGCCTATATGTAACATTCAAAACTAATCAGATTTTTTTCTTTTTAAATGAGCAACTTGGAGCAAAACGGGGCAAAGAAACATACTCGGTAATAAGATAGACATAAAAAAAATCCAAGTTTGAGACCCCACCTCTATATTCAACAACAACTGAATTAGGAGAATGGCATACATGGTAAATGACATGACCCTCGTGTCTTTGATTGGTTTGCAGGATATTGAATGAACAGAAAAAATAAGAGAGAAAAAGATAATACGAGAAAAGGAAGACAGAAGTTGGAGAATATGGAAGATCAAATAAAAAACTCCAAAAACACAGTCAAGCTCCTCTTCACCCCAACTTTATCTTGGTTTGTTATACCAGATTGGCAGCATTTAAGACTAAGGGAAACCTGAAAGAAAGGCTAATGACTAAATTTGAGTGACTATGGTTAGTTCTTTACAGTTAATTTTACATTTGAGGCGGCCGGGTTTCACTTTGACGTGATGTTTAGCTTGGGAAAATAAACCCAACAGCCACCCTTACCTATTGCTCTTTCTTCTCTTTTCAGGCTATCACCGCCGGTGAATTCACTAATCCTAGAGTTCACTTCCTCCAATGTCTTGCTCTTGGCCTCTTGTACATTGATTGGCAACACTGGTCAATAGTCGATGAAGCCCCAATCACTACTTGACCCCTTTCACTGGCTTTGTGCTCTCCCCCTCCCCTTCACTCTTAGGACGTCAGCCCCTTCATATCATTTTCCTTGGTATAATACCTAAAATCATGAGCTATGAACAATCAAAGCAAAAAGGTGAAAAATTTTTGACCTTGATCGAAGATGAGGAAGAATAAAAGAGGATGATGCTAAAGATAAATGAATTATCAGGAAAGAAAGAAATAGTTGAAAGGAGGTTCATCCACCTTCTGTAATTTCCCTACTAGCTCTGTTCTCATCAATTTATATTCCACCCTCACTTGACTCTGCTCTTTATACATCAAGAACTTTCTCCCCCTTAGCGGTCGCCAAAGGAAGAGGCGCTTAGGAGTAACCACTCTCACAAATTGAGAGATTTGACACTCATATGGGAACTTTTTAAGTAGTATTTAGTTAGAGAAGAAGGAAGGGTTTAAAATTTTTCCTCCCCTTCCCTCCAAAACCTCACTCTAAATTAAGGAGATTCTCCCCCTCTAACTAAACATAACATAAGACTAATTGGCTGGCCTACATTAGCAAACCATATCATGAGTATATAGATCGAGAGAAACCTTACCTTAGGGGCTACGGAATCCTAAACTTCACCTTATTCTCTAAAGAGGGCATGCGGGCATGCAGTCAACATTAAAGCATATTAGCAAGTTCATGATTTAATGTGGTGAAATTTTCAATTATGATAACTCTAGCAATCTAAAGTTAAGGTTGTTCCCAAATTCCCTTAAGGACTTAGCCTTTATATGGTACATGACATTGGTATATAATTCCATTCTAACTTGGCCAGAAATTGAGAAAAAATTTCACATCTAATTCTACAAAGATGAACTTAAGATCAATATTGCAAAACTATGCAAATTGACACAATGAAATGGTGAGACGACAGACCAACACCTTGCTAGATTCAAGAGGTTAAGAGGAAGATGCAATGTGCCTTTTTTAGAGGCCAAGTTTGTCAAGCTAGCACAATCAGGACTAGATATATAATTTTAGAAGAAATTCTAAGGAATGGAGTTTAGAGATTTTTATAAACTCATTGCCAAAGTTTATGGGTATGAAGAATTGTTGAAGGAGGAAGACTACCAGAGATGCACAACCACGGGTACATATTTTGGTGAGCTTGATGTAACTATAGCAAAGTTGAAGAGTGCGAGAGATTACATGTTCCCAGCTTTAATAAGAAAGGCTACTACTGAAGCCATAAAGAGACTTAACACAGTACAATACACCTTCAACACCTTTAAGACTAAGGATATTTTTGACTATCTGTTGAAGGAGAAATTCATCTCATTGCCTGCAAACCATAAAATCCCATCCAAGGAAGAGCCTAAGGGTAAATAATAATGCAAATACCACCATTCATAGAGCCACAATACCAAGCATTGTTAGGCCTTTAAGAATATGGTACAAGATTGGATCAATAAGAGCGCATTGAAGCTCCTGAGAAAGGAGGAGTCCATGGTAGTGGATAAGGACCCATTTATACCATTTGCCACCATCAGCATGGTGGAATTAGCTTCTAATGGTCAAGGGGTAAGAAGACATGGTAGAAGACAAAGGGACCATGTGAGTAATCTAATAGTTCAACATGAAGGGGCTAGATAGGTAAAAAGATAGGCCTAAATGCTTGGACAAGAGGTGGATGACTTGAGAAAGCCTATAGAAAACCAAGGTAGTGTGGGATTGCTTGCAGAAGCCCTCGGGCAAATTTGATTACTTCATGAAGTTTTAGGCCCCACTTGGTGCAAGGGAATTTTTTAAGGGTAGATCCTCAGGCTGGGATATAGAGACATAAAATGAGCCTATTAAATAACCTAAGAAAAGATCGAGAAAGCCAAGGTAGTATGGGATTGCCTGGGGGAACCCTCAAGTAAATTTGACTACTTTGTAAAGTATTTAGCACTACCTAGTGCAATGGAACCATTTAGGTGTAAACCTATAAGTTGGGACGTAGGA